GGCCGTCTTAGAGGCCATCTTGGACGTCTTGGAGGCCTCTTGGGTCGTCTTTGTGCCCTCTTGGGGCCGTCTTGGAGGCCTCTTGGGCAGTCCTCAGGCCATCTTGGAGGCCTCTTGGGCGCTGTGGGGGCGATCTTGGGGGCCTCTTGGGCCGTCTTGGGTCGCCGGAAACCCGAGAAGAAGCGAATGCCAAAATCTTTCAATAACCTAAGGACAATCAATGAGATTGGCCTCTTCGGGCCCTCCTGGAGGACCTCTTGGAAGCCTCTTGGGCCGTCTTGGAGGCCTCTGGGGGGCCTCTGGGGGGCCTCTTGGGCCGTCTTGGACTCTCTTGGGCCGTCTTGGAGGCCGTCTTGGACGACCTTGGGCGGACTTGGAGGCCATCTTGGAGGCCATCTTGGGCCAACGTGGACCAAAATCGAAATAGTTTGTCACGCCAGGCACCCCTGCGATGAATCGACAGGGGGCGGCGGATGACGGAAAGCGCGCGTTAGCGTGCGATCCGTTAGTCGGAAGAAATTGGACTTGGGGGAGTTCGAGGGGGGTGGCATCCGCGGACCCCGGATCTAATTGCCCTCCCGCCTCGTTTTTTCTTGAGTAGGACGGCCTTCGGGGCTGAAACACAGCGTTTCGCTCGAGACATCATCGGAGAACGCTTCTTGGGCGCTTCTTGGGCCGTCTTAGGCGCCTAAGACAGCCCAAGAAGCGGCCAAGACGGCGCCCAAGACGGCCCAAGACGGCCCAAGAAGTGCCCAAGACGGCCCAAGAGCGCTTCAAGAGAGCCCAAGACCGCCCAAGGCGGCCCCAAGACGTCCCAAGAGGCCTCCACGACGCCCCAGGAGGCGCCCACGAGGCGTCCAAAGAGGGCCCCACGAGGCCAAAATCATTGATTTTCTAAAGGAAAACGTACATTTCTAGCATATACGGCTTTTCGCTTTTCATGGCGTTGAAGACGGTCCACGAGGCCCCCAAGACCGCCCCAAGACGGCCCAAGATGTTCCCAAGTGGCCCCCAAAATAGCCCAAGAGGGCGCCAAGACGGGCCAAGAGGCGCCCAAGACTGTCCAAGAGGTCCCTAAGAGCGCCCCAAGAAGGCCCAAGAGGCCCCCAAGAAGGCCCAAAAACGGCCCAAGAGGGCGCCAAGACGGCTCAAGAGGCGCCAAGACGGCCCAAGACGGCCCCAGGACGGCCCCAAGAAGGCCCCAAGAGGCCCCCAAGAGAGCTCAAAGACGGCCAAAGGCAGCCTAGTCCCTTCACCCCCGCCACCCAGAAGCTCCCAGGAGGCCCCAAGAGGCTCCCGAGAAGCCCCAAAAGGTCCCCAAGAGACACCCGAGAGGCTCCCCAAGAGCCCCCCAAGAGGCCCATAATACTCCCAAAGGCTCTTAGCACCGCGGCTCCCAAGAGCGAGCGGCAAAATCATTGATGTGCTTAAGGAAAACGTACATGTTTAGCATATACGGTTTTTCGCTTTTCATGGCGTTGAAGACGGCCCACGAGGCCCCCAAGACCGCCCCAAGACGGCCCAAGATGTTCCCAAGAGGCCCCCAAAATAGCCCAAGAGGGCGCCAAGACGGGCCAAGAGGCGTCCAAGACTGTCCAAGAGGCCCCCAAGAGCGCCCCAAGAAGGCCCAAGAGGCCCCCAAGAAGGCCTCAAAACGGCCCAAGAGGGCGCCAAGACGGCCCAAGAGGCGCCAAGACGGCCCAAGACGGCCCCGGGACGGCCCCAAGAAGGCCCCCAAAGGCCTCCAAGAGAGCTCAAAGACGGCCAAAGGCAGCCTAGTCCCTTCACCCCCGCAGCCCAGAAGCTCCCAGGAGGCCCCAAGAGGCCCCCGAAAAGCCCCCAAGAGGCACCCAAGAGGCTCCCCAAGAGCCCCCCAAGAGGCCCAAAATACGCCCAAAGGCTCTTAGCACAGCGGCTCCCAAGAGCGAGCGGTGACGTAATCGAGCTGATAAGACCAAAGCTCCCAACAGAGAGCTGCGGCGTAATAAGTTCTTGACGCCAGGGCACAGGGACGGGCGGCAACGCGTGGACAACGAGCGGTCCACGCAAGGACAACGCGGGGTTCTGGAAAGCTGGCAGCCCAAACGCGGAAAACGCAACGCGACCCGACCGCCCCTCCAAAACAAGAAACGCGCTCAAAGAAAGCTCCGCGACTCTCCGAGGCTGAGATAGGACAAGAGCGAGGGGAAGGGAGTCAATAAGAGGTGTAAGAGCGGACGAGCCAGCGATCTCGTGCGCTCTGAAAGTAAGTGCGCTTTCCGTCCCCGTGCCAAGCAGGTGACGGAAAGAGCGAGGTACGAGCGAGTGACGTTGAGTAGGGGGCGAAGCCCTTCTTAGGGGGGGTCCAGGGGGGGTGCGAGGCGGGGACGAAATGGTCTAATGGCCCGTGTCCCTTGTATTTGTTCTAATGAAGCGGCTCCCGGGCGGCTCCCATGACCCGCGTCTTCCCCAGACGGGCCCAAGACGGCCCAGAGGCCCCAAAGGTCGTCCCAAGACGGCCCCGAAGGTGCCCCAAACGGGCCAAAAACGGTCCAAGAGGGCCCCCAGACGGGCCCAATTCGGCCTAAGAGGCCCCAAAGATCATCCCAAGACGGCCCCAGAGGCGCCCCAGAGGGCCCAAAACGGTCCAAGATTGCCCTCTGACGGCCCCAATACGGCCAAGAGGGCCCCGCGGGCCCTAAGAGAGCCCAAGAGGGCCCCAATAGGCTCCCCAGCGCGCCCGAATAGGAGGAGGGGGAGGAGGAGGAGGAGGAGGAGGA